CTTCAAACTGTGAATGGTAACTAGCTGGGGTTCTTCTACTTTCCTCTTTATATCTTCGTGTATTATTTTAATATTATATAATGATTATGCTTCATTACTTAAAATCGGAAAGAAAACACAAATTCATGTTCACTGTGGGAAAAACAAGGAACAATGATAGGGTTTGAGCTGATTTTTTCTTCTTTAAAAAGATAAAAAGTAGAGTTATGAAAAAATGACACTCAAGTTCCTTAAATTAATCTCTAGGCTCACTAGCAAGAATAAATTGCATGTCTATAGGACTTTATGCCCAAATGCATTTTAAATGTTTCCATTTGAAAACTGTTTCCCTATCATTTCCGATGTTGCTATCCGGACACTATCATGACGTCAGAGACGAAGCCCTTGTGCTGTGGAGTAACTGCCCAGCCAAGGAGCTCTCCCGTCAGCGACTTGGCTATCTCCACTGTCACTGTCCGCAACCAGCAGCGCAGCCACACCTTCCAGCCACTCACTACATTCAGAGGACTGTCCAGGCACTGAAGGAGTGCTGTGGGCTCTCCTTGGGAAGTATATCTGAGAGGCTTAAGAGGTTATTTATCAAATATAACAATGAATTTAAACCCGTTCGAGAAGCAACTATGACTATTGTTACTTTTCTGAGCTACAAAGCAAAGGATATCACATAAGCATTAACTTTTAGCCATACAAATAATTCAAACTGACTAGTTTAAAAAGCAGGTAAAAGAAAGGAAGAGTGCATTTGCCTGGACATTTGTACCTGGGTGCTCTTTAAGCTTAAATCGGTTGTTTCCCAGGAGTTGGTCCACAATCCCACTGAACGATGGTAGTTTTACTGCTGCTACTTTAATTTCAAAGTTCACAGGGGCAATCCTATCACTAAATGGTAATCCCTATCACCATTAACTCTCACTTTTTATAGAACTTTTATTCACTTCTCCAGTCTTTAGTTTTAGGACACTCTCCCTTTTTCCCCAGACACTGAGGCTGCCAACCAGCCCTGAGTATCATACAGGACAGCCTGTGACTCAGATCGTCAGAGCGCACTGCCCTATCGCTACAAGCCACTAAACTTGAAAGCACAGAATAGCATTCGTGTTTCCACCTTTGAAAGAAGATAAAGCACTGACTCCACGGCCATTTGTTTCAGAATTTACTCACATTACAGCCCTGAAAATATTTCACTGTTCTGGCCCCACTGATGTATCATTGGCAATTATGCTCTCCTAATTGCCATCCTTCTTGAAGAAGGAGTATACACATTTATAGCAGAACCACTGTGTATATTCGCAGTGTTAACTGAAGCACACACTGGCTTTGGCAAAACTCCCAGCAGTTGGTATCGTGGTCTCCAGATTTAAGGCTGGACTGCATCAGTCATCTTCCCCATCCATGCAGCCATGTGCCAATTTGGAGGAGGCTGCTGGAGGGTTTTGTACCCAAGATAGTTACTAGATTAGGAACAGAAAGTCGTGACTTTTACTGAATACTCAAAGTATTCCTACTTATCCAGAGACCCATGAGGCAGCTGACTAGGATACTCTGGAAAGCAGAGGGCAGGGAAAATAAGTTGGTCAAAAAGCAGAAAGTCTTAATAGCCACAGCAATCTTGAAGAAGAAGAACAAAGTAGGAGGGATCACAATACCAGATTTCAGGTTATACTACAAAGCCACTGTAATTAAAACAGCCTGGTACTGGCATAATAACAGACATGTAGACCAGTGGAACAGAACAGAGAACCCAGAAACTAACCCAAGACAATATGATCCATAAATATTTGACAAAGGTAGTAAGAGCATACAGTGGAGTAAAGACAGTCTCTTCAATAAATGGTGTTGGGAAAATTGGACAGCTACATGCAAAAAAATGAAGCTAGATCACCAACTTACACCATACATAAGAATAACTCAAAATAGATAAAAGACTTAAATGTGACTCGTGATTCCATAAAAATCCTAGAATAAAATGTAGGCAACAAAATTTCAGACATCATACGCAGCAGAATTTTCACTGACACAACATGTAAGGCAAGAGAAACAAAGGGAAAAATGAACACATGAGACTACATCAAACTCAAAAGCTTCTGCACAGCAAAAGAAACAACCATCAAAATGGAAAGGGAACCCACTATATGGGAGAGCATAATTGCCAATGATACATCAGATAAAAGGTTAATTTCCAAAATATATAGAGTACTCACACAACTCAACAAAAGGAGGACAAAGAACCCAATTTAAAAAATGGGCAGAGGACTTAAATAGACATCTGTCCAAACAGGACATACAAATAGCCAAGAAACATGAAAAAACGTTCAACGTCACTAATCATCAGAGAGATGCAGATTAAAACAACAATGAGGTATCACTTCACACCTGTCAGAATGGCCACCAGCAACAGATCATCAAACAACAAGTGTTGGCGAGGATGTGGAGAAAAGGGGACTCTAGTACACTGCTGGTGGGAATGCAGACTGGTGCAGCCATTATAAAAAACACTATTATTAAAAATTAAAAATTGAACTGCCATTTGACCCAGTGATTCCACTTCTAGGACCCTAAGAAGCCTGAAACACCAATCAGAAAGAATATATGTACCCCTATGTTCATAGCAACACTATTTACAATAGCTAAGATCTGAAAACAGCCCAAGCATTAATCAGTAGACAAGTGGATAAAAAAGCAGTGGTACATATACACAATGGAGTACTATGCAAGTCTAAGAAAGAAAGATCTCATATCCTTTGAGACAACATGGAGGGACCTGGAGAGTATTATCCTAAGTGAAACAAGCCAAGCAGAGAAAGAAAAATATCACATGATCTCACTTATTTCTGGAATATAATGAACTAAACAAACTGATGAACAAAATAGACCCAGAGTCTTAAAAGTAGGGAACAGACTGACAATCCTCAGAAGAGGGGGATATGAGGGAGGGAAGGAATAAACCACAGAACTTATATGCATGTATGCATAACCGATGAACATAGACAACAAAGCTGGGGACGGGGTGGGGGGGGATGAGGAGGAGGGTATCAATGAGGGGAAAAAGGAGAAACATCTGTGACAAAAATAAATTAATAAAATAAAATACATAACAAGAAAAAAAAAAAAAAAGCAGAAGGTCTTGAGGCCCCATCTTTGTTCCCAGTCTGAAATTCATTCACAAAATTCAGTCAATGCCAGCTTCCAAAGAATTAACAAATAGCTGCCTGTCCCTGCTAGGTCATTATTTATCATAACATAATTCTGTAAATCTCCTATTAAATTTGCAAAACCCACCCTGGCTGGTGTGGCTCAGTAGTTAGAGCATCAGCCCTTGCAAAGGGTCGTGGGTTCAAGGACGCATGCCTGGGTTGCAGGTTCAATCCCTGGCCCCGGTTGGAGCATGTGCAGGAGGCAACCAATCAATGTGTCTCTCTCTCTATCTCTGTTTCTCTCTCTGTCCCCCTCTCCCTTCCACTCTCTCTAAAAATCAACAGAAAAAAATATCCTCGGGTGAGGATTTAAAAAAATTAAAATATTAGTAATAACATAATAAAATTTGCAAAATCCAAGACAGAGATATACCCTGTCTTTTGTGTCTTTACAGTCCAGTTAGCATTGCTGGCTGGCACAGAGTAGGCTCACCATAGATATCTGTGCAGTGAGTTGAATAGAGGTAAACACCATACTCCAGAATTTAGTTTTCTGAGAAACCCCCAGCTTTTGAGGAATGGTGGAGTGATCTTGTAGCTGCAGCCACACCATATGTAGAGATGAACATTCCATTCCACAGACACATACCTCTCCCTCCCCCCACCCTCAGGCTCCATTGTTTCCCTAAACCAGGAGTCAGTACTAGGATGCAGTCCGTCTGGTATGCACCGCCCTGGAATTCCCAGCACATGTTGACTCTATGAGTAACAATCAGACATTGGCTGCCACTATCTGCAATCAGATAATATCCTTTTCCTCCCACTAGCCAACTGGATTTTGAACCTGAAATACCCTTAGAAGGATATTTCCATTAGAGCTGATAGTCTGGCTCAGCCTCAGCCAGGCAGGCAGGCAGGATGCAAGGGTCACCAGTCATTCCTCCTGGCTCCGGGAGGCAAAGCACAGGCTCTCATCATCACAGCCTTGCCAGCCAACATCCACCCATCACAACGACATTCATTTCTGTAAAGACCTCGCTCACCAGCCAACTTCCTCTTAACTCCATTATTCTGAGGTACTTGGCTCTCTCTAGTTCCTGTGGGGTGGTGGCCTAAGTGGGTGGCTATTTTCTACATGTCACAAAATTGTGCTTTATTTTCCATTGTCTGGTATCTCTAATACACTAGCTATAGGACCTGGTTTGCCACTCTATCTCCAGAGTGCTTTTTAAAAATTTTTTCTGAATGTGCTTTCCAAATACTAGTCTCCAGTTTGGGGTGCCAGGTATAGATTTCTTGCCCAAAATGCGCCACTCGTTAACAGTACTGAAATGCAAGCATCCCCTTGCGCCCCTTGGGTGCCACCCCTTGGAGAAGGCAAGGTGGGTGAAGGCTGGAGCCTTGGGAGCAGGAACCCAGAGCAGAGGCCCATCTTGCTGGCATCTGGGGGTGACATCAGATCACTCCTCTTCGTTAATTAGACTGTCGAGAATCCGAGAGTGTATCCATTACTTCTTTTCAAAGATTTTTATCTTCTTAATGTATTATTGCTTTTGCTATGATTTCAAAATATTTGTTACAATTAACCTGTTAATATCAGAATATTTCTGTGGATTTCCTATGGAAATGTATGAAAAAGAATTTTATGCGGGGCATTTATAATTGTGTACGCTGCATTATTAAGTCTTTACTGTATACTAGGAAACTTTTATTTTGACAAGGTATTGATGAGAATTAAATCCCCAGCTTAAAATTTTATATATCTGATCACTGGAATAACTTATCACAAAATAGCTTCTCACACCGTCAATTTCAAACCTCAATGATCTTCTGCTTCCCACATGTTTCTGTGTCAGGTGCTGTAGTGCCTGTTAACATTCATTATCCGCCCATCGCTGGCAGTCAATTTCGTGGGCACTGGGAGTATTTCTGGAAACTGGTCCTAAATAAGAATGGCTAGAAATATTTACCAGTACACAGAAGGAACTGGGACCCTCATAAATACACCCCACTAATCCAAACTAAATGCTCACGTAACTCTAGTTCCCTTACCTTTGTCCCCACAGTGCCTGCAGCCGCCAATTCTAGAACTGGAAAGACAGTCATAGTTTCAACTCTGCAACTCAAGTGAGCCGTCAGCCCTTCCTACTCTCGGCTCCAATGTTTCCAGCTCCCAAAGGAAGATGATAACACAGGCTCTGTGATGTCGTGACCATGAAGAACAAATATAATAATACTTATTTGAATAAGAAATACTAGCCCTGGCCAGTTTGGCTCAGCAGTTAGAGCGTCGGCCCGTGGACCAGAGAGTCCCAGGTTCAGTTCCTGCTAAGGGCACGTACCTCGGTTGCAGGAAGTCACACTGGAAGGAGGCAGTGGTCTTAACCAACTAAAGTTAATGTATCCAAGGTATACAAATTTTACAAAACATGTGACCATGTGAATGAACACTTTCCTAGGTCTGTCACACAGCTCCAAAGGGTTCTGATGTGGAGGCTTAGTTATCTTCATGCAAATCCACTCTAGCACCATCCAATCAGAACAGATGCTGGTCATGAGCAGCTCCATCATCTGGCTGAATGAGTCTCCATGAATGCTGACTACTAATGTTCATAAATATCCACAGAGGATAAATGCCTGTAAAGACCACATGCTCCTTCTAACACGTTACAAATGCTATTTTGTTTTATTAAACCATTCACTCTTGCCTTCCTTTAAACTCTCACTTTCTGGACTCTTAATCTCTTTGATTTTTTAATGATATTGCAGCTTGATCTAAATATAATAGACATTTCAAAATCTGTGTTGCATTAAGGGGCTTTACAAAGGCAGCATCACAGAAAAACATATCTCCAAAGGAGAATATTGAATTAAAAGGCAAAGAGTAACTTGAGTTAAAAGGCAAAAGATGTACATCAGAAAAAGGAAGGACTTGAGCTGTAACTTGATGATCCAGCCTACCAAGTTATGGAGAGTCCTAGGAAGCATTTACCAACACACTGCCCACCCTGAGAATGGGTCAAGAGCCAGGCATGAGTGTCTGCTTAGTACTTTCTCCTCCACCAGAGGGTAAGAAAGCAGGGCCTTCACACTTCATCTCCTGTGTCTGCATGTGCAAGTGCAGTATAAATAGCTCTGTTACTAGGCGAACAGGTGACCGAGCAAGCATCGGAAACAGTCCTTTGTGTTGGTGGCTAGGAGTCACTGGAAAGTTTGGCAAGTGTGATTCTGGCAAAGGTGAGGCAGAGGAAATCAGATCAGAGAAGTTTTGGAAGAGTGCTATGTATTATAGACACTCAGTGTGGATACATGCCGCCGGATGTAGGGAGTGAGGGGGAAGGGAAGTACAACTCCAAACAGGGCCAAACAGCTGGGTTTTATTATATAAAAGAAGGTATCCAAAATGAGGGGCTAGGACCCAAAGCAGAGTAGAGCCTTTGGGGCCTGGAGGCAGGCTAGGGCAGTGTCAAGATGAGGGTGACAAAGGGTCTTCATGAAGCCAGTGACTTAATGGGTTTGTATGAGGTGGGTCCTGGGTCCTCTCACATGAGCCCCTTGAATTCACTCCATTTCAAACCTGTACTTGCGCCTGATCTTCTCCTGCCTTTCTGCTGCCAAGTGATAGCAGTTCATGGATGGATACATGTTTTACCCAAGTGAGTCACTCTGTGGTTATAACCTTTTCATTTCATCTTATCTGACTGTGTTTCCTCCCCCAATTAGCCAGGTCTATGTCAAGCTTTAACATAACTCCCCAAGTGTCAATTTCCCACCTAACACAGTGTCTCACCCAGATTGAATGTCCACACTAACCATTTATTCAGGTGCAGGAACCACAAAGAAGGATGTTTATATCTATCCTCTTAAATTAGCTTTCTCCACTTTTATCTTTATGCTTAATTGATTCTTTGACCTCAACACAAACACAAATCTAAACAGAGTAAGAAAGAAAGAGATGTTCATACTGGAAGCAAGAGATAGTGCCCTTTCTATTTCATTGGTGGGCAATAAAGCCTGAAACTTTTTCATTATGTTGCCTGGCAACCTAGGAAATATTGCTCTAATTAAACAAAAACTATCTGGAGTAAATTCACAATGAACAGCTGAAAAGCATTATATCATTCTGCATCCATCATTAAAACATTAACAGAAGACACCTTGGGATAGTTTACCCCAAGAAAACAAAAACAAATGTACTGACATCACCAAGAAGTAGCCTTGTGACCAGGAAATGCACTGGACCAGGATAAGAAATACTGGGCCAGTCTCATAACTTTGGGAGGACTTCATTTTCTTCATCTGCAAAAAGAGCAAGTGGAATTAATGAACTCTGGCATTTCATGATTCACAAGAAGCAGCAAAAACGGAGAGCACAATGACAGTGATCTTTTTGAACTGCAGCATTTATTATACTTGTGCAGGCCATCAACAGTGGCCCACAGGCCCAGGGGTGAAAGCCATCCATCTTACCTTGAATGAAATACACACTGGGTATTGGTTGATTTCCTATAGGCTATGGATGCTCCTGTTATTATAAGCAACTCCCTTAATTTAGAAAAGCAGATGCCCAGTATTATGAAAACTGCTCATCTCATTAAGACAAAAATACCTCCTGGAAATTTCTTCAAGACTATTACAGTGAGCAACCTCTGAATCAAGGAGCCCTGGCAAAATCAATGCACCTCATTTGTGGAAATCACAAAATGAATAGATTATACAGCTATCCAAAAAAGGAAGCTGCTGTTGAAAATGGAAAAGTGCATCAACCACACTTGGAAGAGTATGACATGGCAGTTAAAAATCAAAGACTCTGGGTTCAGATCCAAGCTTTACCACATACTTGTTGGGCTATTATTTAAACTCTGTATCTTAGTTTATCTATCCATATGTGGGTATAAAAGTAATACACACTCCTCTTATGGCTATTGTAGGGATAAAATAAATCAGTAATGTCCTTAGAATAGTGGCTGACACATAGTTAGCTGCCGTTGTTATTTTTGGCATAGGCCAATAATTATTCATGGCAGTGCCTGGTCAGATGTGCCTGGATTTCAGAGGCCAGCACCACTGGTTTTTAGCAATGGGCTGTTGGACAAGTTTCTTAACCTCTAATAATTTCTTCATCTATAAAATGGGAACAGTCATAATCTACCTCAAAGGTAGATTTGTGAGGATTCAATGAGATAATGCATAGCACAGTGTAGCTACCATAAACCATTATTGTGCAGAATTCATCAAGAAATTTCTCTGCAATTTCTTTAGTTTCTCATTGTTTTCTCCATGCCATAAAGTATAGCAATGTGTGCCAAGACATTTCAAGGAGGAAAGAATCGTTTTTCAACAAATGGTGCTGGGAAAATTGCATATCCACATGCAAAAATAATGAAGTTGGACCCCTTTTTCACACCTTATATAGAAATGAACTCAAAATGTATCAAAGACCTAAATTTAAGAGTTAAGCCACGGATTAGGCAATGTTTTCTTAGCTATGAAACCAAAAGCATAAGCAACAACAATAAAAACAAAAACCAGAAAAATTGGACATCAAAATCAACAACTTTTGTATTTAAACTTATTCAAGAAGGTAAAAAATAACCCATGGAATGGGAGAAAATAATTACAAATCATATATCTGATCAAGGACTTGTATCCATAATACATGAAACTTTTATAATTCTATAATAAAAAGACAAATAACCCAATTAATAAATGAGGAAAGGATCTGAATAGCCATTTATGCAAAGAAAATATACAAATGGTCAATGAGCACATAAAAAGATTCTCAACATCACTAGTCATCAGAGAAATGCAAATAAAAATCACAATAAAATTTTATTTTATGTCCACTAAGATGAATATCATTTAAAAAGGCAGAAATAACAATATTGATGAGGATACGGAAAAATTGGAACATGCTGCGGCCACTTTGGAAAATAGTTGTCAGTTCTTCTAAGGATTAAACATAGAGTTAGCACATGATCCAGCAACTCTATGCCTAGATATCTACCCAAAAGAAATAAAAACATGCCCACAGAAAAACGTGTACATTAATGGTCAGAGCAGCATCATCCATAATAGTCAAAAAGTAGAAACCGCCCGGCCAGTGTGGCTCAGTGGTTAAGCATCAACCCATGCACCAAGAGGTCGCCAGTTCGATTACCAGTCAGAGGCACATGCCCAGGTTGTGGGCCTGATCCCCAGTGGGGGGCATGCAGGAGGCAGCCAATTGATGTTCTCTCTCATGGATGTTTCTAGCTCTCTCTCCCTCTCCCTTCCTCTCTCTCTAAAATCAATTTTTAAAAATTTTAAGTAGAAATTAATATCCATCAACTGATAAATGGATTCACAGAATGTGCTATATCCATAAAAATTGAATAGTATTTTATAATGAAAAGAATGAAGCACTAAAAAATGCCACAGTGTGGAAGAAACTTCAAAACAGCCAATCACAAAAAAAAACTGCATGTTTTACATATGCATTCCATATATAAGAGAGGTCCAGAATAGCAATAGATCTATTAGTGATAGATGTGGTTTCCTGGAGGTGGAGCTGTGGAGGAGAGTGGTTATTGAGAAATAGAAAGTAAAAGCTAATGGGTCCAGGGTTTCCTCTTTTGGTTGATAAAATGATCTAAAACTGATTGTGGTGATGGCTACACAGTTGAACATACTAAAACCATTGAATTGCACACTTCATATGGGTGAATTGTATGGTATGTGAGTTGTACCTCAATAAAACTGTTATAAAAGTAATGGAAATTTCAGAAGCCTCCTCATCTTGGACGACCAATTCTGTAGAACTTCGAATGGGTCCCAGACTCATCTTCCAACAAAAGCAGCCAGGGCTGGCAGCAGAACTGCCTGAATGACTGCAGGGAGGGGGCCTGGGGTGACTCCTGAACTAGTTTGAATGCATGTGGACTCCCTGTCCCCTTCCCGTCTTTAGTTGCACAGTCAAAAGTTCTTTGGAGATACAGAGAAGCAGAGCACCAGCCTCTTCCCCCAATAAAATAGAACTGTCACACTGCAATTAAGGGGTTCATTTTTCTTGCTCAAACCCAATCACATGACTCTTGTCTACCTGTAAGAACCCCCAAACGAGGGGCCACAACGTGTTTGGAGGATGGAGACCCAAGAAGTTGAAACTAAAGAAGCTAAAGAACGATCAACAGTGTGCAAGTTGTGAGGATTCTGGTGTGGTATTTGAACCTTTACCTCAAAACGGAGTCCTGACGCTTTGAGTTTTTTGTATAAAAAAACATTGTTTTATTGTCTTCACACAGTATTGTTGCAAATTCCTCTAAGAACCTAGTTATTAAAATTTTTAATATTGTGTGAGATTGTGAGAGAAGAGCTCAAAACTCATATTGGAGCAGAAAAATAGAGACTCAGACAGATATAGACATTTTTAAAAATTCTTCTTTCCATCCTTTTTATTTCTCTTTTATTTAGTCTTATTTCTTCTCCATTTGTTCTTTGTCCCTCTTTCCCCTTCCTTACCTCTCATCACCTTGCTGTCCCCACTCTGGTCACTGGGTTCTGCAGTAAGCAGCCGGGAAGACTGTCACAACATGCACTTCATGCTGTCTGTGCATGCTGGGACCTCCCATGGCACCTCACCAGACACAGGAGCTCAGAAAGAATTCTTGTCATTTGAATTAAATGCTACTGTGCAGTGATTTATTAGTCACACAAGTTAAGCCCAATTTCTGTGGGTCAGTGGCATTTCCTTCGTTTCTGACGCAGGAGAGATGTATCTTAGACCTGGACCCAGATGCCTTGCTGGTTATTTTCTAGGTCATTATTCTTCATATGTATATTCCTATTCCTTCTCAGGAATCTCCTTGAAAACGCATCAAGGCACTTAATTCTTCAAAGTCAGAATCTGTGGCAGACTGTATTTTTCAAAGATGGCCACACCATTATTTTCCATCCTTAGACTGTGACATTGACACTTCTCCATTAAGAAATGGGGTCTATGTTCCCTCACCTTAAACCTGAGTGGATCTTTGTAACTTTCCACCAATAGAGTACAGCTGTATGATTTCTGAAGCTAGATCATAAGAGACACTACAGCTTCCATCTGGCTCTCTTTCTCTTGGGACACATGCATTGGTATCCATGAGCCATCATATAAAAAGTTTGGCCCTGCCCTAGCTGGTGTTGCTTAGCGGTTAGAGCGTCGGCCTGTGACCAGAGGGTCATGGGTTCGATTCCCAGCCAGGGACATGTACCTGGGTTGCAGGTTCTATCCTCGGTCCTGGTCAGGGTGTGTGCAGGAGGCAACTAACTGATGTGTCTCTCTCACATCGATGTTTCTCTTCCTCTTTCTCTCTCTGCCCCTCCCTCCCTCCCTTCTACTCTCTCTAAAAATCAATGAAGAAAATATCCTCCGGTGAGGATTAACAACAACAAAAAAAGCTTGACCCTTCAAAGCAGCTATGGTGGAAAGAATATGTAGAGAAGCCACATGGAGAGGGAGCTGCCTGAGGAGCCTAGCTGTTCCAGCCTTCAACAATTTGAGTTTTCCCAGCCCTGGTGCCAGAATGTGAATGAAGGCGCCTGCAGATGGTTTCAGGCTTCAAGCTGTTCCACTGAAGATTTGTGAGCAAAATCAATGTTGGTGGTGGTGGTGTTTCTAAGCCAGCAAGTTTCCTTTATGAAGCCTCCTGGTACAGAAAGTGCTACTGTGGTGCCTGCCCCTCCATTACCATTCAGCAGAGCTGCTCTTCAGGGCAGGGCTGGAACAGAGAGAAGGTGAAGCCAGCTCCTCGGAAATGCTTTCCAGGGGAGCACACGACATCTTCCTCTCGGGAAGTCTCCAGCCAGAGGTGTCTTCTGCCCATGAAATGGCAATGTACAAGTAACACCCATGGTCTTTTCCTTTTCTTTGAAAGGCAAAACCATCCACCATGAATAAGTTATAGAAACAGACTGTTGGATTAAACACATGTATAGAGAGAAAGAGTACATACAGTACAATACTATTTTTATAAAGCTCAAAATCAACAAGACAAAATAGTATTTCACAGATACAAACAAACAGGTATGATAAAATTACAAGAAAAAGGCAAGAAAGTCAACACGCCCAGCTGGTGTGGCTCAGTGGCTGAGTGTTGACCCATGCATGCACCAGTTTGATTCCCGGTCAGGGCACATGCCCGGGTTTTAGGCTCCATCCCTGGTGGAGGAAATGCAGGAGGCGGCCAATCAATGTTGATACTTCTCTCTCTCATCAATGTTTTTCTCTCTCCCTCTCCCTTCCTCCCTCTCTAAAACATCAATAAAAAAAAGAAAGT